TTGATTTCATCCAAAAACTAAATTTAGTTGATCTGCAGACTCAGGGTCCCGCACATGACCCAATCTCTTCTCGCGCCACACTGAATTTTCGGAGCTCTTTCTACACACTTGCAACTTCTTAGACACATCTCCTAGAATCTGCACATTCCACCCTCCCCTTGTCTCGCTCCACTATCTACGACTCCTGTCGCCCAGCTTCCTTTTTTTGTCTGGCTCAACCCCGCTGCGGTGGACCATGCCCTATAGACACTGCCCTGGATAGAGCGTCTTTCATTCCAGCTCCTCTAGTGTGCTGCTCAGTGGGAAGCACCTGCCTGGCCCCGCAGCTCTTGGACGAGGTAAAGCCCCCCCAGGATTCCGGCAGCAGCGAATGCCTCCGCCTGGCGGCTGGTCCGCGTCCTCTGCCCCTAGCCCGCTCCTGCAGCGGTGATGGGCAGCGCCCTGGACACTGCCACCTCCTCCACATTCCAGGCCACGATCCCGCTCCACTGCAGGATGCCTCCACCCCGATGCCCGCCACCGAGCTAACCACCAGCGTCCTGCTCCAGCGCGTCGTGAACCCCACTTTCTGGTCCAGATATCAGCCCCCATGTCGCGAAACATCTCCGCTCTATGAGCCACCTGCTCCAACCTCTGCAGCAACCTCAGCGCCGGCTGCCTCCTGCAAGTCACGCCATGGTCATCAATGCTGTCCCGCACACATCTCGTCCTTGTTCTCCTTCACAGCCACCACTTCGGCCCTCAGGCAGGTCTGCCGCACAGTCCCATTCCCTCCGGCCGTGAAACTAATGGGCAGCGCCCTGTCGATCGACCCGCTTCGGATCTCCCGCGAATCCACCCTTCCAGCTCCGGTGTAGCAGATCCTCTGTTGCTGCGCCTGTGCCACAAACCAATGCCCGTCATGCTGCCCATGGCCCTTCCTGTCAACCTTGCCACCAAGCTCTGAGAACACATAGATTGCCCCGCAGGAGGTCCTGTTCCGCCCCGGCTGCAGCACCAAGCCCTTGTGGCGAGACACGATGCTCCACGAAGCTTTGCAGAAGATCATATATGGCAGCCGGCCTGTCGACCAGAGCACCTCTCTTCCGAAGCCACGACGAGCACTTCCCGCGAGATGGTCATGGACCATCGCCCTGTCTTCAGCGCCAACCGCAACACTGATGGGCAGCGCCCTGTCCCTCTCTGCGGCCGCGTTCCCGGGTTGTTCTAGGGCCGCCGCAACCATCCTGTCCACACTCCTCGGGGTCTGCCCACCGGGGAGCACGAAGCTCTCGCCACAGGCCACCACAGCAAATCCCTCCATTCTCAGCCATGCAGCAGCATCAGTGGCCCACGACACACATGGAGCCACCCCCAACAGCTGCCGCCTGCCCTCCAAGACCAGATCCACAGATTCCTCAGCCCACAGCTTTCCCTGCACCAACTCGTCCTCCAGGGTTCGACCGTTGGTCCAGTCCCTTCCCGCGAGCTGCCCCTGGACCATCAGCAACCATCACAACCACACTTCTCCAGCCAAAAATGCTGCCGGTAACTCCCAACTCACGCTCCGCCCACGCTAAACCCGATCCTCGCACCCCTGCGCTCGCATCCCCTAGCTTCACTCCATACTTCACTACACATCCCTTGCGCGCCTCGTCCAGCTCCAGCAGCCGTCGGCTTGCGCCAGCCTGCCGAAACACTGCGCGCCGGCGTCTTCCGCCTACGACAACTACACCGAGCAGTTTTCCATGGCCTGCACGGGGGGACATACATGGGCAACGCCCTCGCTGGCTGACACGATTTAGCTGACACCATGGGCAGCGCCCTTCTCCCCCAGGAAACGCATAACAAAGACACCGGCTGCCTCTCACCCGACGACTTTGGTGACGGAGGCTGTTCTCGGTTCCTGCATTTTGCTCAAAGGGTGCTCCAGGAAACCCTGCCCTCCCCACATCCAGGGCAACGTCCTGCCTCCTACCGTGGAACCACCCACTTCCACACCCTTCCGTCCCCCCCCCGGCCTACTGCACTGCAGACATTCCGCCACGCGCGCGTGCCGCCCTCATGTACATGGCTACGGTCTCTTCCCTCGCTGGCGCGAGAACCTCGCCACCACCTGCCCGAGCTTCCGTTTGCGCTGCTCCGTCCTAGAACCAACACGCATCAACACGCCACATGGCGCGGACACGGGCGCCTGACAGGCATGCGAAAATCTTACCAGAGCCTTTCACGTTACCACGGGCACTGGCCGGACCTCGTCCAGCGCATGAAAGGCCGCATGAGTACAACAATGGAAGAAAATAGGTTAGCAATTTTCTGGGCAAACCTGGGAACCCAAAACAACCTTTGACATCCTACAACTCCCTTCTACGAAAAAAAACCCAAGATGTAAATCAATTGGGATGGCAAAATCTTGGACAATCCACGTCGCAATCTTGGCGGATTTCGTCACTGCAACAAGGCTCCGGAGAGGTAGGGGAGGTAAGGCTTAAGGCTAAAGCTAAAGGCTAGGGCTAAGGTCTAAGGCTAAAGCTAAGGCTAGCGCTAAGGTCTAAGGCTAGGGCTAAGGTCTAAGGCTAGGGCTAAGGTCTAAGGCTAACTAAAGGCTAGGGCTGGGACCCGACCCTGCCACTAGATTTTTTTCCCTTGGGGGTCGGCGGCTGCAGGCGGTAGCCTGATAAATATTTATACATCCTTTCCATAATAAACACTGTCCTTTTCAAGCAAAAAAATGAGAATAGCTATTGAGCAAAATAATATACAAATTCATCATTTAACCAAGAACGATAAAACAATACTTGGTGGTGGTGGGATGGCTTCTGGATATGATGTTTTAAAACCAATTTTGGAACAAAGTCCTGGGAAACAATATTTCTGTCTCCCGATGGAATACCTCTAACTCAAAATTTAATAAGGCAAATTTCAAAAATGGATGAACTCAGTTTATGTTTAACTCGCTATGAAGGATTCGATGGAAGATTGAACGATTTAGTTGATTTTAATGTTTCAATAGGGGATTTTGTTGTTAGTAATGGAGAAATAGCTAGTTTGGTTTTTTGGTGATGCTCTTTTGAGATACAAAGGAGCAGTTAAAAATCATAGTTTGGATGATTCTTTTGACAAACAAAATTTGTTATATAGATGTTGATTGTTTTACGGATACTAAACAAAATTGGGAAGATGTATATATAAGTTGGACAACAAACAACTCATATGCAAATTGCGATGAAGTTGATCCTTGATGATCCTTGCAGTAGAGATGTATTTTCTTGGTTTTCAGTGTGTTCTACCTCCTGGCTTCTTGGATTCATCTGTCCCCACCAATGTCCCCTCTCTTCAGCCTCCTCTCGGCCTTCAAAGTTCTCCCACACCTTTGGCGCCTTCGAAGGTCGTTTCGACCGCAATCATGACATTTCTCTACGTCATTTCGACCACAATCATTGTCCATCCATAGGTTTCTCTTATTATGGTTCCTGACACTTTTCGGGCGACCTTGGACAGTGAGTTGTGTTGGCGCCTCTTGACACTTTTCAGTCGTGATTGTCCAGAACCGTTTTTGCACCAGAACCCGCATGAAAGGTGATTGATAAGAACAAACACCAGCACCTCTGCTGCAACTCGTGCAAGCAAGCGCGCCAACCTCTCCTGTCAGGCTACTGTCGCAATTTCAAGAACTCGACCGGCCCGACCAACCAAGAGTAGTTAGTAGTGGCTTAGAAACAGTTTGACCTTCTTTTATCAATTCAGGTCCAACTTCCGAGGTAACAAGCAAACATTGGATGCAAGAACGTGCGAGGATCATCAGTACTGCATTATTGTGCTGCTAAACAAGTCCTCCGTTCGGGCTCGCAGCGGTTTAACCTTAGCAAGCTGCTCACAGATTCTCACAATTTTTTGCCAGAAGAGGCCATCCTTCCTGAGGTCACAGGTCATGCCAAAGGGCTAACTCATAGCCTTCCAAGCTTGGTCTCAACCACTCCACCTCATCCTCCTCAAGGATGAGGCGCTCAGTTCGGACTTCACTTCAATTGCGGTGACTATAGGGTTTATTGCAGAAATACAGTACCGCGACAAAAGGGGCGTCAAGACCTAATTTGCTGATTTGGGGTATGTCTCAGCCCTTCGTTTGGCAGGTCTGACTGGTGGGTCGCTGCGCTCACTCCTCCCAGAAGATGGGATGCGAGGACATGTCCTGCCCACGCAAGTGGCGGACCTAAGCTCCATTTTGGCTTTGACGCGCCCGCATCAATGGCCGAGGTCCTCGCGAAAGGCGCGAAGCTAGACTCCTCCTGCAGACTTGCTCAGAGAATCAGCTCCCTACATGAGCCCTTGAGCTCGCGTCTTGGTTGTTCTTCCCAAACGTCAGGCGACATCATAGCATTCATAGGAGTCTCAATGGATCACTGAGTGTTCAATTAGTATATATATACTGTATATGTATATAGTAGCTGCATACTGATTCACCAGGTCCTCCGCCCACACCTCTCGCAGCAGTCGCCATGCCAGCGCCTCCAAGCCCGACCCGGCCTGGACTCTCGAGATGCAGATTGTAGGCAAATCCATTGTCTTTGTACAACTACCTCCTGGGCCCTTCACCGACAATTTGCTGTTTAGCTCTTTGCAAACACCTTTGGAAAGCACCTTTGGAAAAGCCCAAGTAGCCCCTCTCGTATGAGCACGTGAAACAACTTGACAACCTTCCAGCTGCCTCGGGCATCAGCCAGGCATCCTTTGGGATGCAAAAGATCTCCTGGACACATTGGCCGAGAACTGAGTCAGCTGTTGAAGATCTCAAATTGTGGGACTTTGACAACGTCGTAAGCTTTGGTTTGCACGGCTCCTCCACTGCAAAACCAGTGGGTACTATGTGGAGCTACTCTGCACCAGTGTGGAGGAAACGATAAGCTGATTTCATCGATTTCATCCACCCATCCTGCCCTTCTTTCAGTGGGCCACATTGGCACTTTCGTCGCAAAGCCACTCCACCACCCAAGAGCAACTGGACATCCTGCAGGCCTTGGAGGGTGCTGATGCGCATCACTCCTTCTCCAGGCTAAGCGGCTCCACTCTCTATATCTCTCTATGCTCCATAGATATCTCTCTATATCTCCCTATATCTATATATGCACTCTCTATAAGTCTTTTTTGATATCTCTCTTACATCTCTCTTTACTCCGAAGATGTTTTGTCTTTCTGCTTTGTTGCTTTACTCTTCTGAGCCTTAACGATAAACTTGCACTCAGTACTCCATACACGTGCTCGCGCCGAAACATGTTCAAAGTGGATTGCCGCGGCTTTCATGTCCATGTCATACGACCCTTAGCTCTACCCGAGGAAATAGGGGCAAGCACACTCTGCGTGATCACTCATTGGTAGTGCTTGCTGATTGGTTCTGTGCCCTTCTCAAACTTGACGACCCGTCTTTCACAGGGTGACTGTCGAGAATTTGGTCGGTCCCGCCTGTGCAACCTCTATCCTCCATCCAGTTGAAGAGCTCCTGTGCGCCCTCTGGTTGAGGAGCATCCTCAGCACATTACTGCTAAGATTATTCGGAAGCGAGTTTCAGCCCTGGCACCTGGCCCAGGGAATCTGCGCTCACTCTGCACTAATTGCCAGCCAAAGCCGCACCGTCGCTCAAAATCTCCCCCGATGGACTGCGCAGAACATCTGGGTCAAAGACGCGCTTCCTGACATCAGCAGTATCACGAAGGGAAAGGAAAATCAATCCAAAGCAAAGCGTGTCCTCCCATCGGACAAAGACAGTGATGAGGAAGATGGCCCTCGAAACACCGGCATGACTTCGATTATACACACACCCGCGTGCTGATACTCCTTTGGCCATCCTAGGTCCTAGGGCTCTCAGAATATGCCCCACGCAGCATTGAGCAATGACTCAAAGTTACAAGTTACAAGCAAAATCCATGAGAGTCATCGAGATGGTGGGCAGGGCGAAGGCTTTGTGGTAGTTGTGACCACGGCGGTGCTGCACGTGGTGGTCACGGGAGCTGTGGGTTGCCCCAGCTAAGCAGTAGGATGCCAGCAATTTGCAAGGGTCACGGACTGCAAAAAGTGCCGGCAACCATCCGTTCATCTTACTCACTGAGGGAAGTAGAGAACGCGGGAATCAAGGTGAAATGAATTGGGCCATCGCCCTTAGGCAACTGCCAGCAAAGTAGGAAAATGTTGGGTTTCCCTCACAGCGAGCCAAGATCCGGTTCTGTTTGAAGTGTTCGCGCAATGAAAAAAACTCACACGTAACAATCATCAATATTGTTCTATATATCCTCTCGCACTGTGGATGAGTGCCACACTTTTGGTAGTAAGGCTGGTGGACGAGGATGAACTGGATGACGAAGAACTTCCCTGACAAAGGACACTCTTCCTTTCCATGAGTCTGTGGCTATGGCACCGGCATCAACACAGTTGCCGGCCCTAGTTGCAATCTGTTCGTTGGTATCTTCCATCCATTCCTGTCAACAAAGCAAGCTTCACATCAAACACAACATGTTCTTCCGCAAGAAATGTATGTTCGTTCAAACTTGGTGCCAAACTGCAGTGGCAAAGCCTTTTGCTTCCATTGCAAGCCCTAAGCGCAGCAAGGGACTGGCGTCAGCAGCTTGCGACCCACTGCAGGCCTCTTAGTCGATGCTCGTTCCTTTTTCGATTGGCTCCAGCCTGCCACGACAGCATGCAATCACCTCCTCTGCCGTTTGCGTCCTCCACTTCCCACTGAGCTTGCGACTGAGACGGCAAGGGCAGTGACCAAGGCCCACGTGCTCTGAGATGAGCCTCACACAATATTACTGTAAAGTGCCCTAAACCATGGAAGCTGCTATCAAAAGCATGTGGACAGTGTGCTGGCAATCCCGGGTGACTTTCCTCTGAAGACATGAAGCCTTGAAACCCTGCTGACGACCTGAAGCCTTGTCTTCGTGTCTTCGTGTCTTCATATCTTCGCGTGTCTTCGTGTCTTCGTGTCTTCGGGTCTTCGCGTGTCTTCGGGTCTTCGCGCAAAAGTCACAACCCGCTTCTGCCAACGCAATGCATGAAGCATCCAACAAAGCAAAACAGGAAAGTCCTGCCTCCGTCAGCTCTGCCAGACCTGCAGGGAGTTGGGCTGCCATTTCACCAACGGTTTTGAATACCGACCCGATCTCAGAAGAATCTACAACTCTCAACTCACCCCAAGTTTTTCCCTAGGCTTCCCTGGGCAGCTCCCCGACTGTCGCCAACGCCTGGCCTGTGGGTTGGCCGAACCGAAGCCGGCGAAGCGATGGAGGCTGACCATGTCACCTCATGTCCCAAGGAGTCCGCCAAATGGAACTTCAATAAAATTACTGCTTTACCCTCTGAGGTGTTACAGTTACAGAAATGGACCCGGTCAAAACACGGCGGATTACTCTCATAGACATCCCTACTCTACGAGGCTGTTTAGAACACGTTAAGGACTTCTGCCAAGCTCGGTCAGTCACCTCTAAGACCTCAGATCAGAATGCTCCTCATCATGCTCTGCTGCCACGATCTGCCATGTCAGTCTTAGAATAGCGGCCTTGTGAGCCACAGGCACGAAGGTCGCCATGGCAGGCGAAGACACAAGGAGATGATTCGGAATCCCATGTACACAAGCCATGTATGCTATGCAGCTATGCATCTACTACAGTGACAACTTCAGCTTCTCCATAAAATCCTTTACGACTATAGTCATAGATTCATCTACTTCAATGGGGCAGCTGCACATCTCTTCTTTTTTTTTTCTCTCTCTCTCTCTCTCCCTCTCTCACTCTGCAGAGTCTAGCTGTCTTACATCTTTTTGGTGTTGCCTCTCCAGGAAAAGCCCTGTTCCGGTCATGCATGAGGCGCCAAAAGCTTCGCATTCGGCATATTCTCCACAACTGCCTTTTGGGGAACTCTGGTGGCGCATTATTGAACGACCCCCGACCTGGTCTCCACAAGCGGGAGTAATTTAAACTATATAATCTCCTTGAACTCGATGTGCTTCACCTGACTGAAGAACATGGCCAACCAAACCATTTGAAGTATATACAAGTTCCAGGTTTCTCACATGCCAACTTTGCAAATCCTTCTGCCACTTCTGCCACCTTGGCATGTCAATATGCACGTAGTAGAGTCATATCATATCAGTACTAGCGCGTGAGGCATCAGGCGTGTCCAAAGTCTTAGAAGAAAACAAAAGGCCAAAAAGGCAAGTTCTGTATCAAGACGTCTTCCCCTTTCTATGACTCCTGGGCTGTGCACTTTTCTCTGAACCATTCACTTGGCTGCAAATCATCAATACGCCTCAGCTCAACAGCATTCCCGCTCAGTACATCAGGCACAGTGGAAACTCTCGAGGATGTTACAACGAACAACCTTGCAAATGGAGTTTCTTGTCCTCACCGAGTCTCCTTGTAAAACCTGCGCTATCTACGATTTACCCAGTGGGGATTGAATCCGAATAACCTCATCAGATACCAAAACCTCTGTTGCTTTCCACCTACGTGCAACAGCGCAGGGGTGTGCCAAGCTCCGTGCGTAATGACCTTGCGCTCTTGAACCCACCTAGGATCAGGACTGGGCTAAGAATCCACGCGCAAGGAAGGCTCGGTTGGATGGGCATCAAGCTTCTTCATGTAATCTTCTACTGCTGCCCGCGGCTGCCATGGAAATTCCACCTGACTTGCTGTCTGGTCGGAAAGACTGGCCAAAATGGCTACAAGGAGTTTGACAGAGAATTCGGGAGACCGCGACACCCCACCAGTTCTGTTGTATCCGAACCTTCTTCCCATTCTTGTTTGCCAGCTGGACCCACGTTTCAGTTTCAGGCAAACAGGAGCAGAAGGGGCACAAATGCGCCAGCAACGCACTTCATCATGAGCCGGAACTGCCATCATGCCATGTCTCATCCCACCTCATCAAAGCCTTCCTCGTCACCCGGCACACTGAAGCCAGAAAAGCTGCTGCCTAACAAGGGGGCTTGTTCATCAGCTAGAGGGCTGATGCCATGAGAACAAAATCTGTATGAGCCCTACAGTTGAATCGGTTGAAACATATAAGATTATACGAGCAGGTGTTCTGTTCTGTTCTGTTCTGCTGTTTGTTCGGGGCCATGGATCAAAAATAGAACTTGACGAGACAACTCATCTGAAATTTGACCGAGATCAGAGCTGAAAGCTGCTGTTGATAAATCTGGCACAGCATCCGACTTTGGCCTCAGTTGGAGGCCCTCTGATTCTCTTGGCTCTGAAAGAGTGCTCAGTGCTAAGGTCTCGTCCTAAAGCACTGCTGTTTTTCCGCTTCTGTCAGCTCGACCACTGGAGGCTTCTCCCCTTCCTGGAGAAAGATGACATGGCAGCAAGGAAGCATTCCGGTGCATCTCTGCCTAGCACTTGAAATTCAAGCCTCCTCCATTGTGGGCTCTTCTCCCATCGCCTTCGAACATTGAACTTCACATGTATCGATGTTTAAATCAGGCAACGATATGATATGAGCGGAGTTTCTTTGTTTCATATCGAAGAGTGATTCATCCTACATTCCTACATATTATCGTGTGGCCACTGAACATCATAACATCCTGATTTGAATTGACAATTGACGTCTACTCATTGATATTTACCAATTACGGTGCTCAAGAATTGGACCTCGTCTACGGCAGCCTCAGAATCACATGCAATTGCGTGTGGTCGTAGGACCTAGTCATCCTCAAAATTTCTGATGATTTGCTTTGATGAAGTTGTCAAGAGAACATGTAAAGGTTCATTTGTGATGTGCAGCTTCTACTGACTACTAACATGTTCTGACAAATCTGAAGCCATGGTAGGCCAATGATTTTCATAGTCCAACACGTTCTCAGCATATCCAAGCCCGTGACCGGATCAGCACCCTGAACGCACGACACAATTGCTTCATCTGCTTAACACTGCACAAAAATTGGCGTGACACTTAAGGATGAAAACGAAAACACCACCATTCGCGGGCCCTTTGCCAAGCACCCATCCTCTTCGGCTTGCTTTTGGGCCAACTCAGCCTTTCTCGTTGCCCATTCTGCCTGGGTACCGGTGCAAAAGCGCCCTTTGGGCTTTGGGCGGCTCAAAGCACACCTGGCCTGTTTTCTTTGCATCTCCAGCCTCAATACAATTGGAACAAACATGAATGAAGGTCCAAAAGAGGGCAACATTAAAAGATGAAGTTAGGAATAGAAAAGGCTTCAACTGCTCTCGTTTCATGTCTTCTGTTCAGACCTGGAACTGAATGAAAGGTTTGCTTTCCGCTCATTCTGCTCAGTGAGGTCGCTGCAACTTGAGCTGGGCAGACTGCTGCCGCTTCTGCAGGAATTCTGCATCAGCCTTGGCCTGGAAGCCAAGGCCAAGCAAGGCCGAGGAACAAAACGATTTCAGACATTAGCTTTCTACGAGCTATTTCAGAACAGATCTCATGCATTGCATGGCAAAAGCAATGAAAGGCACATAACTTAACATATGTGGAAAAACTGACAAGCATGAGACCAAGCATGATGCCCATGCGATATGTATGTGTGTGTTTTTGTGAGATTGGTCTTATGAGATCAGTGTTACCCAATAGTTGGCTGGGCCTGCTTCTCTTTTCGGAGCTGCTCAAGGACATGGTGCAAGTAATCCCCACTTGGCTGTCCAACCTCATCCATTCCACCCAGTTTTAGGAAAGATTGCTTTGTTGCTCATCCCTTGCTGGCATGTCCCTTTGACCCAACAGCTGGTTCCACTACTCATGGCTAATTAAGTGTGTCAAGTGCGTTGTGTACAGTATATGTTGTTGGAAAAGGTTGCTGTCTTTTGATTTTGATCTGTTTTTGGGGTGTGTGCCACTACTGTAGAAGGTTTCATTGCGGTCGTTTCTAAGTCTGTCACCAGCACTTTGGCCACCTTCCGGAAGTGCGGCAAGCAAAATCGCCCCAACGCCTGGCGTTTCCCGAATGATAAGTGTTGAAGAAGCTGCCGTCGCCCAAACCGTCGGTGTCGGAGCAAATCCTAATATCTTTACCATCTTTACCCACCTGTGACTTAGTACAAACCACGGTCGCACTTTGGAACAAGCTGCATGCATTGCTAGTTAAGGGCTCGGATTTAATTTAGTTTTTTTTGTTTTGTTTTGGTATTTTTTTTGTTTTTCGTGTTTCGTGGCAGGTGCAGTACTTTGTGGACCTTGAAATGCTACTTTGTGGACCTTGAAATGCACATTTCGTGGCAGGCGCAGGACTTTGTCGATGTTGAAGTGCGGATTTCGTGGCAGGCGCAGGCAGGTGCAGTGCTTTGCGGGCCTTGAAGTGCCGATTTCGATTTCGTGGCAGGTGAAGGACTTTGTGGATGTTGAAGTGCAGATAGATAGATAGATAGATAGGAAAGAAAGAAAGATAGAAAGATAGATAGATCGAGAGATAGATAAATAGATATAGACAGACAAATGGATAGGTAGACAGATTTGCATTGGAATAGTGTAGGTGTCAGACTATCACAACAGTTTGGTGCAGTTAGCAGAAAAGCAAAGAGAAAGGTTTCGTGGCAGGCGCGGGTGGCGGAGATGAAGTGCAGATTTCGTGGGGCGGGGGGGTTGGGGGGGGGGCGCAGCGACCCCCCCAGCAGCACACCAGATCCAAAGGTGAGCAGCTCTTGCTTGCTTGCTTGCTTGCTTCCTTGTTTGGGTTCTTCTCTGCAAAGCGAATAAAAAGAAAAGCACAACACAACAGACAGATAGACAGACAAACAGATAGATATAGACGGATAGATATAGACAAATATGGACTAGTAGCAAACAGCCACAAAAGCCAAAAGCCACAAAAGCCACGAAAGCCAAAAGCCACAAAAGCCACGAAAGCCACAAAAGCCAGAAGCCACAGAAGCCACAGAAACCACGAAAGCCACGAAGCCACAGAAGCCACGAAAGCCACAAAAGCCAAAAGCCACAGAAGCCACGAAAGCCACGAAGCCACAGAAGCCACAGAAGCCACGAAAGCCACAGAAGCCACAGAAGGCACAGAAGCCACGAAAGCCACAGAAGCCACAGAAGCCACAAAAAGCAACAAAAATTCCTTTAAAAAAACAAAAAATCACAAATTAAATGGCCCTCCGCTAGTTAATGCCGGCTCCAATGCTGAATGACCCGTTTCGGACGTGCCTGGGCCCTCTCATCCCGAAGGAGGTTATTCTTCACCTCGACTGGTGTCTGGTGTCCGCCAAAATTTAGGCCAAGAGGGCAAGAGGGTCTCACCAAACTGTGGTGGTATGAAGCTTTTGTAATTGATCCTTGCACATACTGAAGGCGGTTGCTGCAGAAATAGCATGTCGCAGAAGAGAACAACATTTTTGCACCTTGGCCCCAAGACTTCAACTGCTGGCTGCCGGCCTCCAACCACAAAATATGTCGCATCTGCACCGACGCTGCAGATTGCAAAATCTGCTTGACCTCAGGCAGGTCTCACACGTATCTTTAGGATCCCTCCCTGGATTGCAGGAGTCGGCCAAGCCGAAGATTGCTGAAGCCCTGGATTGCAGCGAGATTCTAATCGGAAAGTCTGCATATCTACTAAAATATTCTACAACCTGCTGGCAAGCATCTACTCATGTCTACCATATCTAGACCTCAGGA